TAGTTACTAGCAATTCAAACCAGTTGGTATATTCATCGGAACTATTCTTTGCTAGTTGCAGGTTCATGTGCCATGTTGTTATTATATCGACGGAACCATAAAATCCCTAAGGAATTAACCTGGGTGAGCAACATACGAATTAATTCCATAATCGGATTTAACTTAACACCATTTGAGACCACGATCTGGGCTTCCTCTATGGTATTGAGAGCATCACCACAATACTTTTTCACATTACAGCTGAGTTTGTGATATTTTTTCACATTACAATAACATTATTAAAAGAATTTCCAAGAACCAAGCGAGAATGAGTAAAAAAAATGCACAATAAATTCCAAAAAAAAAAGGCAGCTTTGAAAAATTTTGTGAAAATGAGTAAATAATTATTACTTGTAATTCCTATACACATCAACTTTCAAGAATGAAGTCTATCAAAATTAAGAGTACGTTCGCAAATTTAAAAAGAAAAAAAATCTCTTCTCAATATTACTATTGACAAATTTATTTTACAAATATATTTTTTAGAGTCCATGATAGTAGTAAGAAGTTTTTTTTTTTTTTAAGAGAATGAAGACGGTACTTGGCGGGCATCCCTCCAATTTTCTTGATATAAAGAAATAGAATCCAGAAGCAAAGAAAAGAATAGAGAAGCTTCTGGAGTTTTTTAGTCCATTTTAAGGTGCGACTAAGAAAGTCTTTTAATTGAATTTCGGAAGAATAAGGATAGTTGGGAGAAGCCGCATAAGGTACGACTAATTAGGAAGGGCAAAGTAGGATTTGAAAAATATTATCCCTGGTTATAAAAAAAAATCAAGCCTGGATTTATCAACTACCTTTTAAGTATACTTCAAATCTATTTATAGTTATATATTTTTATAAAGAAACCAGAGAGAGAAACTGGTTGATCTTTCCTAGAGTGTCACCTAGAATAAAATTGGCATTATTTCATTAATCCAAAATAAATAATTTTGTGTAATATAAAACAAAGTCCTCATAAATATATATGATTAAGAAATTGGCCCAATAAAATTAGTTTTTATTAACAATTTCTAATTGATAATATTTAAAAATAAATACATTACAATAACAATACACATTTATTTACTGAAACAATTGTCCCACATTCGATCTTTTTGTACCCACAATTAATATTTTAATTTCATGAGTAAATATACATATATATATATAATACGTGCCGCATTTTCGTTTACTCAAAATCTTAATAATTAAGATTTCACGAGATTTATACATTTGTGACACATTTTTATATTGTATAAAAAAAAAACTCAAACAAAAAATGTAACATATCCTGCACATCGTGCCGGTTTAACATCTAATTACAGTATAAGTGAAAATCCAAACAGGACAATCAAAACAGAAGTATCAAACAAGGACCGTAGTACCTAGGTGTCAATATCTAACAGCAATGAGTTTTTGTTGGTGTCATGACATTACCAGTTGGGAAAAAACAAAGTTTATATTTGCATTATATCTCTAGGTTAATATCAATTATTGTCAAAAACTTTATACTTGTATCATATAGGATTAATCACTGATTCTTAGGACCCATAAGCACACAGAGTTCACTAGGATCAATCCCCCTGCATACGAAAGATGTCTAGAGCTCTAACATCTATTCCTACCTACTATCTTATTGACAATACATTGACACTCCACTTGATTCCACTTTTTCGGAGAAAGAGACACCCCCAAATATTTCATAGGAAAAGATCCATGACAAAACCCAGTTATACTACAAAATATCTCATGTTACCAAATTCCAACACTCCCAAAGAATATCTCAGATTTCTGAGGATTTGCAACCAAACCTGTTATATCAGAGAACTCCCTAAACACTTCCATAATAACCTTAACAGTTGGAAGATCAGCTTTGCAAAACAACATAAGGTCATCCGTAAAAAAAATGTTCATGAGTTTAATTCAATTGTTTGCAAAGGGGATGAAATTTAAACCTCTCATTAGCTACACTTTTCAAACTTCTAATTAAGTATTCCATAACTAGGACAAATAGCAAGGGAGAGATTGGATCTCCCTGCCGTAAACCCCTTTTTCCAGCAAAGAATCCAACAGAACACCCATTTAGTGCTAAGGTAAAAGACGTGGAAGTAATGTAAGTCATGACCCAAAGTTTAAATTGCTCCATGAATCCATACCCTACCATCATTTCCTCAATGAAAACCCACTCAACCGAATCATAAGCCTTTTTAAATCTATTCTCATCAAGAGACTACCACTAATCTTCTACCATGCAATCTAATAAGCTCCTGTGTAATGAGTATATTATGCATGACTAATTTATCTTTGACAAAAGCATTTTGATTTTCATCTACCAAATAGGGCAGTACAACTTTCAACCTATTACACAAAATCTTCGAGATACATTTGTGTATAACATTGCAACAAGCAATAGGCCTAAAATGATTGGTATTCAGTGGGGAATCAATTTTTGGAATTAATGCTTAGGTAATAGGATTTATTTGTTTAAGTACCTGCCCCGTTGCGAAGAATTCCAGCACAACATTTGTAACATCATTCCCAACCACCTCCCATGTAGCTTTATAAAAATCAGAACCAAATCCATCGGGACCTGGACTTTTATTTAGATTCATCTCCCAGATTGCTTCTTTTACCTCCTCCCTTCTCACATGTTTGATTAGCTTTAATTGTTGGTCACTGCTCAGCACAGGTCTAGTTTTGAATATACCAGGGTTTGTCTTCTTCCTTTTAGATGCTTGCCCTAGCAGCTTCTGATAGAAATCCACCAAGTGATTTGCAATATCTTCCCAAGCCGTAGATTCCACACCATCTTCATCTACCACTGTCCAAATTCTATTCCTCATGTTCCTGATTTTCAGGACAGAGTGAAAGAATATGGTGTTAGCATCTCCCCCTTCCATCCACAGTACCTTCACCTTTTGTTGCAAAAAACTATTAGCAGCATTCCTGCTCACCAGATAGTCTTTATAAGCCTGTCTTTCCTCATTTTGAAAATTTGCATTACATGGATCCCTACTCAATTCTAGCTGTATTGTTTCCAGCTTCAGTTGTTTCCTTTGTGCCACTTCCACAATATCATCAAATTGATTCCTATTGAGTTGTCGCAATGGGCCTTCAACAGTCTCAACTTAGTACAGATTTGAAACATCTGAGTCCCTTTAACTTCTTCTCCAAACCTGATAAAAAATGTCCTGGAACTGTGGAGATTGACTCCACATATTAAAGTAGTGGAAAGGACCTGGTTTCTTCTTAACCTCTCCCTCAATTTGCAAAACAAGAGGAGAATGATCTGATATACTCTCCACCTGCACGAAAGCAATGGATTCAGTGAACATATTAACCCAATCCCCGTTGAATAACGCTCGGTCAATTTTTGAATAAACTCTCTCATTCCCAATTCTTTGGTTACACCATGTGAAAAATTTTCTATTTTGTCGTAAATCACTTACTCCACATGCTTGCAAACAATACTGAAACTCCTCAAAATCGTTCAGTTCTACAGGCTCTGCCCCAAGTTTCTCATCAGGATGCAAGATATTATTAAAATCACCCATCCATACCCATGGTACATGTGTTTGTTGAGCAAGTCTTATCATCTCCTCCCATAGTTTACTTCTCTCCCCAGCCTCATTAGAAGCGTATACACAAGTGAAATGGAACATGCTTCTATTCTTCTTCACCATATAAACACAGTGTATAAACTGTTCATGCTTACATAGTTTTGAAACCATCACACTATCATCCCATACTATTATGATTCTACCTCTATCATTAGAAGACTAATTTGAGGTCCAATTCATGCCCTGCCAATACGGCTTCATATATTCCTCCCCTCTTTTCTTTACGATCTTCGTTTCCACCAGCCTTACTATGTTGTATTGCCCTTGCTTCAGCCTCCTCTGCAACTCTCTTTGTTTCAGGGGAGAGTTTAAACCCATTATATTTTATACAAGGATGTTACACATCAGAATTAGGTCCTGGATCAAGCAGTATGCCCAATTCTCCCCTAGTTCCAACGTTAGAGTTAACATCAGTGCCTGTTTTATTTGCAGTTTTTCCAAGATCCTCTATTTGAAGGATCCTAACAACCACATCCTGAGTATCTGTGGCACTAGTGTTAACTCTATCCCCTTATACAGTCTCTTCATCCTTACTTCTACTTTCTTTGGTAATCAGTTGCTTACTGGTCTCATTCACAGGGTGCCCTCTCAACTGAGCATTCAGATTTACATCCTCTTGCTTCTTCTCTGCATTTTTAACCCCTTTTGAACCTTGATATTACCTAACTCATCCTCAAATACAATTCGATCAGAAACATTCTCTGTAATTCTATTTTCACAAACAATCTAGCATACTGAATCCAACTTTTGTTCACCGTATAATCATCAGCTAGTATAGGGCATCCTAATGTACTAGCTAATCTATCCAGAAAGTTCAGATTCCAGTATTTTAACTCCAAGCCATACAATTGAATGTAGACAGACACTTTATCTACTTTTCTATAGTTCAACCCCTTTTCTACACTCTAAGGTTTAACAATCAAGGGTTTATTACCAAAGTGCCGAAAATTGATACAAAGTACTTCATCTCTAGCACCAGAATTCTTAAATCTGACAACAAATAAACCAAAAGGCAATTGAATCACCTGTTCTATCCCCACTTTTTCCCAATGTTCTTCTGAAATAGTCTTCCATCACCCATTGGCTCCCAGGACAAACCAAACCACTGAATTCTCCCAGTAAACTTTTTCAGCATGAACATCTTCCATCATCATCTTAGCCACGTTCTGTCCATGTCTCTGGAAGGGTGGGGTTAACTTCAATTTTCCAGACGGTGCTTTCAACTTATAAGTATCAAACCCTTCCCAAGCTTTCCCACCGGAACCCTTCACCTTCGGTTCATTCCATTGAAGTTGCCATTTAGTGTTCTTCTCCTTTTCTCGATTCTCCATCCCATCTCTTTCTCTCCCACTTAGACACCCCTCAAACAAATGCAGTCCGAACAGCATTCAGATCTCCCAATCCTTTTTCAGGCGTGCTAAGATTCTCTTTCCCCAGATCCTTCAACTTCTTCGTGGAAGTTGACGCCTCGATCACTGGGACCAATCGGTCTAACTCCTCTTCATGCTGAACCCTAACCGCTTTCCCTGAACTCCTTTTCTCACCTTTGCCCTCAGGATCTTCCCAATTCGCCTTCTCTTCACCGCCATCAAGACGTGAATCGACGTTTGTTGTTGTATTCTATGGTTTCCCCTTCCTTCTTTTGCCCACCATGACTGGCGATCGAAATATGAACGCCGAAAGAAAGAAGGAAATCTCACATACAAAAACGTGGAATTGCCCTCACTTCGTGCGTGTACTAGTGCCTTCCTTCTTTTCTTAGTTATTTCTTTTATTAGGTTTCATTAATTTCATTCATTCATATATATATTTGTGATATCTATGGACCCATTCTTATGATACCTGGACAAAGATCATGGAATAGAATCTGTCAAAAGAATTCACCGTGATACTACTGATTCTGAAAGCAACGTCAATGGCGATCATGGCCCTAACAAACGCAGGGAGGTTGTTATATTCCGTGCTACTGTAAAAGGTAAATTATTGTGTAAGGCTTGTTTGAAACTAGTGCCATGGCTGATCCACCAATGTTGAATTTCGAAGAATAATTACAATGTGGCAATGACTTAAAACAGTTGGGAATATTGAAGGAGGTTCCCTGGTCAGATAAGCTTACTAAATATGATGAAGAAAAGCTCGATTTGTTTATTGAGAATCTCTTTGAAGATGATTGGTATTAAGTTGTTGGATCATTATAATGCTCATGTAGTCAATATATGTTTCGTTCATCCCTGATCTTTACTAATTTTTTTGCAATTCTGAAATAGTCAAATCTTTAATGAATGAGTATACAGACAAGACTAGGAGAAACTACATACTTTCTGTGGAGCCATTTTCTTCTCTTCACTACTGAGTATAACTACGAAACAATTGAATTGAACTCTCAACTTTGATTGATGGCAGAACTTGTAACCATTCATCTCATACAAAAATCAGCCTGTATAGGACAGGATAAAAATATGCTTGGAATAATGATTATGTCATTGTAATGTAGGACTCCAAGCCCACAAACAGTTAAATGATGCCATAAACTTCTTCTCTCAAGCATTTTTTTGTAACTGATGGATAAATTCAGAAGTTTTGGCTAGCATAGTAGTAGTAAAGAAACAAAATATCAGAGATGCATCATTGTTTATTCTCTTTGTAGCCTGCACAAGCAGCAGTCATATTTATCAAATGAGTTGCTTCGTATCCTAGGATACGACATAGAACTTTCATCTTATTCTTGAGATCACACAACAGATGTGTCGTGAACTCTCGCGCCAACGTGTATGTTTTTGCAGGGCTTAGTTTTGATGATGGTGGTGGTGGTGAGGATTCATTTGGTAGCCATGGATGAGGTGGGCGTGGTGGCGATGGTGATGCTGATGCTGGTGGTGATGGACTTGGTGCTGTTGATCCATTCTGTCGCCATTGTCTGATATCTTGGAAATCTCATACCATGGTCTGGATGGATTTCGAGTGAGTTCGAGCAAGGACTCCCTAACATCATCTGCTTGAACCAAGTCACAATCTCTTTTCTGCAATGAAATGAACCAAGTGGTCCATATAAAACAAAAGGAAACAATGGAAAATCCAAATCATGATGATATTGCTGGCAACAAAAGTTACCTCTACTTTGAAGATATATGAAACCAGACATGTGTGCCTGGTTGCATTTACATTGATTACTTCCAGGCCAAGAGAACTCAGTGCTTCCATCAATCTTACAAATCCACCATGTTTATGCTCGCAAAACACTTTCACAAAGAACTCATTTCCATCGAGCTGGGTGACTTCCACTTGTGGCTGCAATAACCATTTCATGATGATGGTTAAGGCAAGGGATTAAAATGGAAAATGGTAACAATGATGGTGATTCAGCATTAATTTTTTTTTTTTTTTTTACCTCCATTTGTTGGACCTTTTCCTCGTGGTTTTCGCGTTCCTGATGTCGCTGTGAATAGTCAATGCCTCCATTATCAAATGCCCTTTTACGACTTCCATTGGAGTAATTGTCGGTCTCAGGTTTAGTTCCATACATGGCGCCGATGCTCTGAAAGATATTTGATTGGGAAACATTTTGATTGTTGGTTATCACAGAGTTCATTGGATCCTCATCATCTGAATTGTCTTCAAGCTCATTCTCGAGATCTTTCGCTTGCTTCTTCAGCTCCTTTACATACTCAATTGCGTCCCCAAGGATGGAAGCTCTGTCCAGCTGTGTAACAATCAGTTCATCAATGTCTAAGCTACGTCGGTAGCATTACTATCTATAATGATTTTTAACCATCTAATGTTGTTCCATCATTTTCAAATGGTTAAATTCATACTCAGGCATCAGAATTGTGAATATTTCTTTAGTTTTATGAGTATATAATTATATATCTACTACACTCAGACTTAGATGGTGATTATTTAGTCATTTCCATGATTATAGTTACTTAAATACTGCAGTTACCTTTGAAATTTTGGGCACCAAGGCTCGGAGAGCATAGAGTCTGTCATTGAGCTTCTTCCTTCGCTTCCTCTCAGCCAAAAGATTCTTGGACTGAGGGCCCTTCCCATTTCGCCTTCGGCTTTTTGGATCATCCTCATCCTCATTTGGATCACTGTCAGAGGCTGAATTTGATTGAGCATTCTCCTGTTTGTAAGATGAGTCATTTTCATTTGCTTGATCATCTTTGCTAGACAAGGGCTCCATCATTTGCATTAGCATATTTCCTTGTTGGCTGATCATGTTCTTCTGCAATGCATCCATATCATGGATTCCAGTTCCCGGAGGGGATGCAAAAGGATTCAACTGATGATCATGCGTTCCTTCGAAAAACATCATCTCATTCTTTCCGGATTTATCTGAACTGCAAGTACTGAAGTGTTGCGACAGATTCAAAGGGGAATGGCTCAAATGCACCCGATCAATGGATACATCGCACGGCAGATCCTGATTTTGCCTCCCTTGGGACTGATCTTTCTCATGAGTTTCATCAGGCGCAGGGTTCTTCAACGGGACATCACCAAATCCATCGACATTCACTGAAAAACTTGAATTCAAGGCCTCTGAATGCATCATCATTGCTTGCTGCTCAAACGAGATGTTGAATTGTGATGTAATAAATTCTATGATTTGAGGATCTTCAGGCACCTGAAATTGAACAAAGAATCCATAACATAAAGCAAAACATAATGCTCATATTCGCAATCCTCCTCGCCCTCATCAATCATTCACTAAAGTTAAGATGAGTTAGGCTTCTAATTGTTTCAAGGGGGCAAAAATAGCAAAAGAAATTTACTTGCTTGGCCGCAAACACTTCGACCAATCCAACTGGTACCGGAATCAGAAGTCTTGTTCCTATTGAGTCCTGAAGTTTTATCACAGAGATAAAAAATTACATCCAACAAGACTTAGGCATTTAAGTGTGAGCATTTGAGGACTGAATCTCACTTGGGAAATATTTGATTCCAACATGGGTGCAAAATTTAACCATTTGGCTTCATTAGACATCAAAGTTTCAGCATATATGCTGCACAAAAAATTGCCATTTCAGTTAACCATAACTTCTGGCAACATAGAAGGATATCCGAAACCAAAACATATCCAGAAGAAGAAAAGCCTTACCCAGAGACAGAATCTAGAGAGATTACAGAAGGCACCTCTGCTAACAACTCGCAACATTTGGTCCTGCGATGTTGAAAGCCAACATCTCTGCAAGGAAGAGCAGCAGAAGAACCTGAGAACATTTCATCATTACCACCCTGCATATTCTCTGTTCCACCACAACAGCAGTCCATCCATTCAAGGGCACTATACGGGAAAAGATGAGAAAGAATGAAAACATGACTATTATTATAGGGCGAGATGAATATATTTTTGAAGATGAATAAGCATATTACCTTTGATCTTCATTCAACCTCCAAATGACAAGGTAATCCCAACTTTTCAAGCCGAAAATCGGCCTCAGCAACTCAATGAAATTATCCATGAGGGTCATACTTCCCGATCCTGTCATCAAAACATCACTGATTTCAGTTCATTGATATGTAACTAAAAAGATAATAAAAAATGAAAAGATACAAATTTGATAGAAAAATCAAAGACTAAGCCTGAAGCGGAAAAAAAAAAAAAACACCCAAGTCCATGCAACCTTTAGTGTGACAATGATGTTTAACTGATGTATCAAGGAAAACAACACAGCATAATCACATCTCAGCAAAATGAAGAAAAGGGATGATTTCTTTTTTACTTGTAGAGTTTATAGTTAGAGAACAAGAAAAAAAGGCTAAAGTAATGAGATCACCTGTAGCTTCTGACCTTTTGAGTTATGTTATTTGTTAGAATAATTCCTGACGAGAGTTGGGTTGTTGCCTTATTTTGGTAGGTGAACAGCAGCTGATGCATGAAGAGAGAAATTAGGATTTGTTTCATTCTCAAAAAGCACAAAGAAAATGAGATAAAAATAAGTAAATAAAGAATATTGCAAAACTTGTGGCTCTTTCATTCATTTGTGGCCTTTAAATTCCGTATACGTAATGAGATGTTTAACTGCAAAGTTTTGTTAGTATCAAACAGAATAATGGAGCTTCCTTCAATTAGCTGTGATCATCACTTCTTAAACCTTCTCGTCGCAATTATTGTGTGCTAACACCATTTGAACGATTTTTTTCGATTTTTTTTAGGTGACACCGGAAACCCAACAGAGATGGGTAAACTCACGCCCATTGCAATAGTCTGCAAACTAGCGTGGGAGGTAAACCACCTTAGACAAGTCCATGGTGGCAAGCTCGGATGCGAAATCGAACACCCTAGACAAGCCCAGGGTGACAAACTCGGGTTCAAAATTGGGGTTCATGAGTAGGTTTGTTATAACAAGCCCTCTAGAAATGTCAATTGGCAAGGTTAGAACCATCCCCTCACTGTTGTTGGAGTGGGGGGTTTGAACTCATAACCTCCTCTTGAGAGCAATGGTAGTTTTACCACTGAACCAATACCCATTCGCTCATTTGAACGATTTTAAAACAATACAATAAATTATTATACTCACATCTAATCAAAATCAATTTTTAGTTTATCGTAACGAATTATTAATGATAAAGTGCTTGAATTTGTTCAATTAGTAGCTGCAGTTATTTTGATTTTGCCATGATTCATGTGTACCAAAATATCAAACTTGAAAAACAAAAGTCAAAGGGCTATAACCTTTTTTTTTCTTTTTTAAATTGTGTACAAAATAATAGACAGGAGCATGGTTGATGCGTTTTAAGCTACTCATTATCAATAACATAAACCTACGCCTTGAAATACTAATCAAGACATATCCTTACAATCACATCATTTTAATATTATTTACATGATACACTTGCGTCTTAAATTACTCATACCAAATTTAAATTACAATTTTATGTGAAAAAGCGATGTCTCGGTAAAAGTTGAAATCACTCATAAAACTTACACCTTCAACCACTTTTTTAAAATTATTTATTATTTTTTCTGAAAAAAGTACCTATATTAATTCACCCTATTATTACATCTCATTCAATTGTATATAACATTGTACTTTTTACTACATCATTTCTACTACCTTTAATCAGTTGATAAGAAATAAAATTATACATAACTAAAATTAAAAGTTGCACTGCTTCCACCGGGATGATTGTCGTTCACCGATGAGAATGGTCTATTTCAAATTTTCAATAAGCGGTTGATAATGCAAACATTAGAGGATACAAATTAAGTCTACATACAAATTAAGTCTACACATTGATAATGACTTCTGGCACTGCAGTAGACATCAACCTTGGGTATTACACAAATTAGAGGATCCAGGGAATGTAGCAAGACAATTTTTTTCTTTAATTTTTAAACTCTAAATGAGGAGGATTATTTTTATTTTATTTTTATTAACTTTAAACTAGGAAGAGGATGGTGTCTGTTTAGGCTGAAATTTTGGCATTGCCATTTTCCATGACCTATGAATGCGTTTAACTCCAACCACCTTCAGAGTTTTTCACTAATTTTTATAAGAAACTGTCATCCAAAAAAAAAAGAAAACTTGGGACTAAATGTCATCTTCCCCTATTAAATTATCTCTCTAGATAAAAAGAAATGAAAAGGAATCCAAATCCTGCAGCACCATGGCCATATGATACTGGAAGAAAGGATTTCCAACACCATATTTTTAAGTAAAAAAGTACATAATCCAGAAGGAACTCAGAAAACATCCTAAGTAACTAAACTGTTCCTGAAACAGAAGAAGAGAAGAACTGAAATATACCCCACAGAATAAACTTCCTGTTCATCAAAGTTTTCTTATCAACTGAGCAAGAAGGGTTTGCAAGGCCTAACACAGAAGAGAATATGCAAACCATCCAAAGATTAACTAGATTATACATGGAAAGAGTGTCCATACATCCCCTGGAAAAGGCTTTCTTAAATGTCAAAACTCCTTTACAACTGAGCAGAATTGTTTGCAATGGCACCGGCCTCGGTAAGAAGGGGCACAAGTTCTCCCATTTGGTGCTTCCCTGTTACAGCTGCAAAGTGAAGAGCAACAACAACATCATACCACTGCCATTGCCCACTGCCCTATTAAAGCACCAAAGAAATTAATGAAGTAAACATTTCCTCCTTATTGTCCCAAGCTAGCCTCTAGCCCTGATCGAATACTTTGCTTTTTCTAGGAAATCGTCATCAAAAGTAACGAACTCTCACAAGAGATATTCAATTGAATCGAATCATAGCCCTTTAGAAGGAATTGTTTTTTGCCCCAAGTTACTTTAGCAGTGAATCAAATAGAATCACTTATATATGTGTTTCAGGAGCTGGTGCATCCGATAGTTTTTGCCAAATATTTGCGACAATAACAATGTATGTGGATTATTCGAGTGACAAAAATCTGCGAAAACAAACACAAAGAGCAAGCGGAATGCACTCACTATCACAACCCCCAATATGTTTGCCACCAACAAACACATTTGGCACTGTTCTGAGACCAGTCCACTCTGCTAAAGCTGCTTGCATTTCGGTTCCATCACCTCCACACAAAAAAAAAAAGGGGGGAAAAAACATTAACAATTTGCAACGCTTCTGTTTCATTCATTACTGCTGAAATTCAAGATAGTAATTCATGATGTGTAACCGATTAGACACAGTCTGTAACACTTACTTTCCTCATCAAGCTCAATGACTTTGTAAGCTGCACCAAGCTGGGAAAGCAGTTGCTTCACCCTTTTACAATAACCACAATATGTTTTGCTGAAAGCAAAAGAAGAGAAACGAAACCCCTCTTAAAGAAAATCAATACCACTTTCTAACCAACAAACCAGCAACAACAAAACCCTTTATGGGATCGAATATAGTCATCCTGCTCCCTAACCAAATTGAAACTAAACAATTCAGAACACACTAATTAAAGATTCAAATTACTGAATCCTAGCGGACCAGACGAACCCATCAGAATCGAATTGAAAAAATGAAAACGCAAATTGGCGTAGATAACGAATTGAAAAGGGCTTCAATTAATCCGAAAGAAAATCGAGATGGAAGAATTTTCTTGGCTTTAAAAGAGGAAGTACCTGAATACAACAACAGGGTTGGATGAAACAATTTGTTTGACTTTAGAGAGAGCCATTTCAAGTTGTTCTTGACTCAATTTGTTTGTGCTCAACAGAGATCCCATGCTCTTCTCGTGAATAAGAGGAGATTATATTAAGGGTAAAACAAGCTCTGCAAGAGGGATTCGGGCACTGTGCAACGTGGGATGTGGAGATGTTGACAGAGCTTTTGGAGTTGGGACTGTATCAGGCGAAAAGAAGAGGGATTTTTGGTGAGAGTCTTTTGCAGAAAACACAGGTGTCTTTCAACTGCGAATTCACAAAGTTTTGCTTTCATCTCCTCCTTTTTGGAATTATGTTTGGTTTTCTTTGGGTCAAAAGGTTCAAGAATAAAATGAATATTCATGACTTACACAAGAGGTCCTTAAATTTTAAATTTAGTGTCTACCTTACCTTAACTTTTTGGATTTTTTTTTTTTTTTTGAAAAGTAATAGACTAATAGTAACATTTTTCAACGATATCTATCTTATTCTATATATTACTTCCTCCGTCCCACAAAAATAGTCCAATTTAATAAAAAAATTTGTCCTAAAAAAATAATCCAGTTTCACAAAAGTCAAAATTAATTGAATTGAAATGACTTGAATATCTAAAAGAGCAGTGGTAAGGAAAACAAGATCCATTTCATTTGATTTTTTTTTTTTTTAGTTTTCTCTCATTTTTTCAAATTATTATATATTTTAATACATGAATAATTAAAAAATGTGTTATATATCAAATTAATCTGCGTAACGAGATCTTTCTATCAAAATCCATTGTCAATATCTTGTGAGATAAAAATTTTGATCAAATTTAAGTTGTAAAATAAATGCATATGTAATTAACTTTTATAGAAATAACTAGCAGGGGTATTAGTGGAAGTTAGAGGTATAAAATGAGTTGTACATTTTGTGTGTTGACCAAATTAAAAAAATTGTACATTTTCAAACTGTACTATTTTTCTGGGACGGAGGGAGTGTCTATCTATAGTACTTAGTTAAAGCAGCAAAGAAAAAGGACATGTGTCACCACCACAATGAAAATTTTCCCGCCAAAAGTCATCTATAGTATATACTTAATTAAAGCAGCAAACAAAAAGGACATGTGTCACCACCACAATGAAAATTTTCCCGCCAAAAGTCATTTTCAGTACAAAATCATTTTTGACACGTGGCACTCTAACTAATTAGAAAAAAATAAAATAGATAAATACATAAATCCCTTAATTATAACTACATAAAAATATCTTAATTATAGGTATATACTAATCCCTTAAAACAACAATATTTAGTTGATAAAATCAAATGTAAGAAAATCCCCTTAAATCAATTGAAACACCAGTAATTCTTCCTAATCTCCAATTTCAAAGAATCTCTTCCATTCCACTCCTCTCTCACACCCGGGCCTTTAAATCAATTACTTAAAATCTGACATCAATTATCAATCCATCTCTTTCTACAACAGAGAAAAAATAAACCGTCATGAAAGAAATTTGATTTTTTAAGGATGATTTTTTTTTTATTCTTCTGTTGTAGATATTGGTTTATGATTTATGTAAACCCGGGCATAAGTCAACTGTTATAAATTAAATGTTGTAAATATGGGCATAGATGTATGTGTAAACTTGCTTTCTGTCCTTTCAATCGATTTTTTATTCTTCTGATTTTTTTTTATTCTTTTAAGAATGATTCGTATTTTTTATTTAATAATTTAAAAATACAGGCGACACCTCAGACATTCGCCTGGGACAAGCATCTAGTCTACTTAATCTACTAAAATAAAACCCAGAAAGAGAAACTTGGCTATTCTTCTCATGATAATTGAACTAAATCCTATGTGTCATTTATTAATTTTTTTTTGTTAAGAAATTTATAGAAAAAAAATTACTACAAATGTTACTATTAACTATTTATTTAACTTCTTAACAACACAGTGAGAACGTCTTTCTTTTTTCAAAGATAAAATCAGATAAGGTTTTCAAAATTGTGGACATTTCGGATTCCTTGAATCTCTCTTATCAACTCTATCTATACTATTCATACCTGCTCTATCAGATGCTTATACTCTTAATTGTTTACCCGATACGCTTTGCTCTTTTCTCTTTTTTGTGCTGATTTTAGGTTTATTGGTTTTTTTTCTTTTGTTATTGGATTACTAATATTGTTGAATAAAGGGTTTTATTTGTTAAATCAGGTTACAGAAATGAAATCATGGTGACCGCTACCTTTTTTCGTTGACAGAATTCTCTTTCCATGCACCGATGACATTAGGAGCATTCTCCAATGATTCCGAGCCGAAGTTATTGATGAAAGATTGATAATCTTTTGTCAAAGAATACTGACAATGGTATCATTAAAATGATAGTTGTTTCATGTTTGCATGGAGGAATCAACTTGAGTTGTTTCTGTTGATGGCGTTGTTCTGCTTCCCTCGGATGACTCTCCTGTGCTGTCTTGCCTGCCTGCGCTTTTTATTAATCTTAAAATTTTGTTCTTTGATTGGTAATTTCATGTGATTTTAAGGGTTGCATTTGTTGCTTGATGTTTATGGAAAGCTGTGGAATCATTAAAATTCAAATAATTTTTCCCTGTGTTTTTGCAAGAATGAAACTGTGTTTTGGATAATTTTATTTTTGATTGTATGAATATTCTTCCTTTATCCATAAACGCAAAAACAAGAACTTAAAAAGTTTTTCTCTGAATTTTTTTTCTTCGAGGATTTTAATTTTTTGTTTGCAATTGATAAAAATTTGATGATTCTATTGATATATAATAACTATGAAACATTATCCAATATATATATATATATATATATATATATAATAACTATGAAACTATGGATCTTTGATCTTACCAAATAAAGAATCTGTCCTTTTTTTCCTTCCCTCACATAATTAATTTGATTAAATTCATTAATATAATGTTCTGCCCTTCATCCCCCGACTAGCTCAAGCACGCAATCGACGATTTGCAGAAGAAGCCTAAGGCTCCATGCCCATCCGATGGGAAAGGGAAAACCAAATACGATAAAAACCACATAGGAGACACCTAACAAGAAATTCTAAAGCAAATGTAGAATAATGTGTATAGCTAAAACAAAATCCTAATTCTATAAATACCTATTTATTTGACATGTCAAATATTGTGTCTAACTAAGAGATAAATAATAGGAATAAAACCATTTATCATTGGGATATGTACTTCCTAAGCATCGGGAGATCAATATTCTTTAAACATAAGAAAATGTAAGTTAATCCTCCGACTGAAAAATTATTCGCATTCATTTATAAAATAATGTTTCCCAATTAAATACTTGAATTGAATATGGTAGCACTTTTCCAAAACAAGTCATATCTCAGTGTTATTTTCCAAATGGTAATACTTTTTTACTCTTGCATGGTGTCATAAGCAAAAATAATTATGTCATGCCGTTTCCCTTTATTCAAATCATACAAATTATTATTTTATAAATTATAATTTATATATATTTTAAATTTTATAAACATCTCATAAAAATATTTAGGGTTATTTGGAACTACATGATAAAACCGCCTTGGTACATAAATATCAAAGGAACCCCTTATGCTTGTACCGAAGTTTGTAAATTGACAGAAAGTGGGCAAAATAAGGGAGCGTGTAAAATAGGTGAAGGAGATGTGTGTGAAGTTTTCTAATCTCACGAAGAATTAATTTTTTTTCCTATAATATCCTTAACACATTTTTATAATCTTTTTACATAATTTTCATTTATCTTTTTGGGTTTCACTTTCCTCAATAGCAATTTACAGTCCTACCGAACCATTCTCTTCTTTGCCAAATCGAATGTTTCCCCTTTCTTAAAAGATTTTTTTTTTTCCTTCCCGCAATTGAACAACAACCCGCAACACAATAAAGAAATTCAAAATTATCACCAAGACTGCAAGGAAGATTAATTCAGAGAGAATTTCGAACGGCAAGCTTTATTTTATTTCAGAAGAAAAGGTTGCGAATTAAGGCTTCATGTTATTCGATTGGTGCTGATATTAGTTAGGGGAAACCAAACCCTAACTCAATTGACAAACCATAATTGAGGTATGCCGTTCTGATTTATCAAAATTAATGGAGCTTCTGCACGGTGTTCATCAACGAAAATCTGGAAAATGGAAGAAATGACTAGGCTGATGAATTGTTTAGTGTTTAGATCAATTGTAATATTTGTGGTGAAGGAATGATTGAGTTGATGATAGCAATCTCGTAGATGTAACAAATTTCGTTAATGCAACCATCAAACAAGAAAGTACGAAGATAATTTGTCTACCCCGTGAAATTCAAAAAAGTACGGAAAATTCACAGTAAGCCGATCATTTATTTAAGGATTCTATCTCTTTAACTCAAACCAAACAAAGAACACATAATCTATAAAAGATTCAAAAAGATTCAAATTAAACAACAACCCACACTAAGAATAGTAAGGACACCATCCAATATACTCGATTAATCATCAATTCAAGAGACTCAAGAAAGGTAGGAGCAAACAATGTTCAACTATGAAGGAATACTATTGATTAGTACTCTCCATAACCAACAAAGATATGCTACACATACACTATCTCAAAATGCTTATGCCAAAGCAAAACTCATCCAACAAAAAGTAGAACAAACCCCACAAAGGAACTCATGAACACACACATCATGAATTCGAAAACCCTAGCCAAAAGAAAGGCTCAACTCTCGAACTACTAGAAGTAATTTGAAAAGAAAAAGTTTAGTTTTAAAACAATTCTATCAAGAAGAATACTCGAAAAAGAACGATTTCTGCAAGATCAAAAGATCCAAGACAAGATGACAACCCTCTTGGTTAAATCATAATTGACAAATAAAAAATGGACACACCATTTAACAAAAATTCCTCAAAGGAAAAACTCTCATTACAGAAGACTCAAAATGACCATACATGGGTACCTTGAACATTAGGCCTTGCCCCCTATTTATAGAGTAGTAACCTCGGTCACAAAGCACAAAAGAAAACCAACTAGGACTCTCTAATCTTATCTCTTGCAGGAGTAGAGTTAGAAGAGTATTTGATCTCTTTGACTCTATCTAAAATCTAAGAAACCTTATCTAAATGACTTATCCTCAATTAGGATAATATTTAGAAGGAATCTAAGACTCCTAAACAAAACACTCTAGCTTAATTCAGCCCACATGGTTTATCTTAACTAGATAAACTCGAAAAATTAAACTCCTAGACTTAGACAACTCTAATCTCGAAATTCAGCAACAATTATTGAAGTAAAATGTCTTGAACGCCCTTCCAAAAGGTGGAATATTGGTCTTGCGCCCCTCTAGTTGTAGATAACTCCAATTCACTCTAAAACTTGTAGAATTCTCTTTATTGACTCCAAAAGAATGGAAAAACACTTGAAACAATTGAGATAGTTTGCACTCTATCCAATTGTGTAGCGATGGACTCAATCTTGAATACTTTGATCAAATAGGCCATCCATTCAAGAACATAAATGATTCTTCTCTCTAGCTTGATCAATAATCTTCATGGAGCACCTAGAGTCAAACTCCCTTGATACTCTTGAACACTTATTTCCATGAGTGAATCATTTCCTTCGGTTTGAACTCTAAAGTTAATGACAGTCTCATCATCTTGATCATAGCTCCCTTGAACTAACTTCTTATCGCATAGGTAGTCAAGATCCATCCTTTCTTCCTTGATTGGCCTACAAAGTAAACTTGGCATCCCAAAACTAGAATGAAGGACTAGCTCATTCCCCTCACTAGGAGAACCACCATGGAAGGCTATATGATTCTCATCAGTTGATGAATTTAGTTAGTGTTTTGGTTAATTGTAATACCTTTGTCCTTTAACGTAATCGTTCTATTAAAGTGAGATATGAAGCATTATTGAGAATTTTTGTCATGGATATGTCCAGTCTCCATATTTGTCCAGCATTTTGAAGCATGTCGTTCTGTTTAACCGTATTTTTGTGTAAACATTTTTCTTTTTTCACTCAAGTAGAATTTTGTTGTGAGAACTGTAGGGATTGAAGGAATGATTGGGTCATTGAATTATTTAGTTCTTGGATCAATTTCATTTCATGTTTTGCACTGTTAAAGTGGGATATGTAGTAGTAGCATTAATGTGAGTTTGTCCTAATGGTTTTTTTGTGTGCGTATGCATCACCACTTTCAGTTTCATATTAGAAATGATGCGGATGGATAATTCGGTTCCGTAAGCAATTACTTTCTTTCAATCAAGCAAAAATAGTTTATTGTGTATTGATGTGTTAATTGAATTGAAGCATTGATCTTCTTTTGTACGATTTACAGAGGCCTTTCCTATTTGTAAACAACATATGGCTTATCTTACTTGCTTAGAATAAGCAGACACCAATAACATAAAAATGAACAATATGGTTAGCACAACATGGAAAAAGTTCCATGGCAGCAATATGCTACTGCAACCTTTCCAAAAATAAAAGTATACTACTGCAAATTCTGTCACATTTGCACAAATTGCAAAATTGCAATAACATGGACTTCTTTATGACACCGAATATAACTGAGAAAGACAAAATCTATATCCCAACAACAATTATTCATGGACTAATTCAGTTCCATCATACCCAAAAGAATCCCAAAAGTAAAACTAAAATTAACATGGAGATCTTGTGAAAACAATCACTAATCTCGTATTACTTCTGCAACTGCATCTTTCTAGCTTTGATAGCCTTCAAAACATTTGCAAAAGAAGGAGGCCCTTCACTCAGCTTGCCCCACTGGTACTCTTGTGAATTAGACGGAGTTGTTTGCCTTGCAACAGGCTGCTCAACACAAACACAATACAAAACAAGGTTAAAATTTTATAAGTGATTTCAACAAAAACACTAAAGTATATGAATTTATTGTACCTGTGAGAATGTTATTGTATTCGATGGTTGTGAATTCCTGCCGTGACTAGCTACACCATTAATGCTCTTTTTTGCAAGAGGCTTTCACATAAACAAAAGTGAATATCGCACAATTTAGAAAAAGATGATGCTAAAACATGCATAATAAACAAAAAGATCTAGAATCATACTTGCGATATGGACTTGTTTGGACTCCATTATCATCTCTAAGCCTTTTGCTTATTCTTACATTAGGATGAGGAACAGATCCTTGTCCTTGAACACTATCGTGTCGTGTAGTAACTACATGCACTTTATTACCACCACTTTGCTCCGTTGCAGCTCTTTGTACATAATTACTACCGCCTTGATGCGTATCAGATCCTTGCCTTTGATTACCACTAACTTTTGGTGGCTGATATTGTGATATTGAAGCCATTCACACATGTAAATTAAGATTAAAAATTATATATATAAAAAAAACAAATCAAAAAGTACATAATCATAGTATACATGAAGCAGAACTCTTACCACGTAGTATGGAGAACTTGGATTAATTGGACCTTTACATGTTCTGACATTATGTCCTTGTACACCACAACGCTGGCAATTCACAGTTAGACCCCTTCTTGTGTATCTACCAGTAGTTTTAGTTTCATCAGTGCTCTTGTTTCTCTTCATCTTAGGCCTTCCAGGCTGTCTTTTAACTTCAGGTGGTTTTAATGGCTTACCCTTTGCCTCTCCCAGTGGTCCTTCGAAGGCATAGCACCTACAGGCAGTGCATATGTCTTCAAGTATGTCTTCTTTGTATAACAATCATCCACCTAGAGCTCGAGATTCTTCTTAGCATTTAAGATTGCTGAACAAGAATGTGGACAAGGAATTCCCGATAATTGAAAGCATCCACAAGTGCAGGTTTTTCCCTTTAAATTCACAACATAAGTAACATTCGAACCCCAGTCCACCTCATAAATATCAGGTGAAGAATAGTAAGGCCTACAATATCTGCTCAATTCTAAATTTTTATTCAGTATTACCCTGCAATTAGGGGTGATATTTCCATGATACCTCCCATCCCTTCCTTCTTCACATTGTATCTCTTCATCAATTTTCTCCTTATATACTCATACATTCCAACGACAGGTTTATCTCTGGCTTTAAGAACATATGCATTGAATGATTCACTGAGATTATTTACCAGTATATCAATCTTACAATTATGATCAAAATGAGCTCTATACTCCAAGCAACAAGGGGCTCTTTTTTCATCCACTCTGCAGCAATCATTGTCGTACCAACCTTTGGATCAGCTTTTTTCAAATTTGACATTGCCTTGTTGAAGTCAAGGATGTTTGTTGCATATGCACATGCCCCAAAATATTGACCAAGATCTTTTCCCTTGAACTTTTTCTTGAAATTGTTATACTGTGCTTCAAGCAAAACCTGTGTGACGATTCTGAGAACATAAATGCACTACTTAGTATTGACATATAAATACTCTTACCCCTCCCCCCCCCCCCCCCGAAAAAAAAAACAAATTAGGAAACCAAAAAAAATACCAAACTTATACTAAAACAAATTATCGTCACCTGGAAATACATTTTCTACTTCTTTTATGAGCCCCTTTTGTCTATCAGAAGTAAATGTCCATTTGTGGCCATTGTGTCCAGTTCCAGTGTGCTCCTTCAGCTCATTCAGAAATCATATCCAACTTGCAGTACATTTTGATTCAACAACCACTAAGGCAACATGAAACAAATTTTCATTTCCATCTCTCGCTACTGCAGCTAGCAATTGCCCCCAAATGGACTCTTCAAAAAACACCCATCTAAACTTATCCATGGTCTACATCCAGACAAGAACCGATTTTTCATTGCAGCTAAAGGAAAGAACATCCTATGAAATGTACCCAACTCATTTTCAACAGTTAACTCATTTTTAGGTTTGACAATCACTCTACTGCCTGGGTTGGCTTCTATTAGAGCATTCGCATAATTCCTAGCATTATAATACTGCTCCATTTGGACTCTATGAATGTCGGCCATTGCTCTGCGCTCTAGCCAGCAGGCTTGCCTAACAGTAATTTCAACTTGAAACTCCATATTTACAATATCAATAAGGCCTTGGAGGAGTATGTTTGGAGCAGCACGAATAAGGTACTGGTATTTTTTGCTTAGATATGTAAAAGTACAATTCCTGTTGTCATATTGTCTATCACAGATGTGGCCCTGCCCGATCGTCTTGATTTGAAATGTTTTTGTCTTCTGAATAGGACTGGCATGCAATCTGTAACGACAACCTTCAACACAATAAACAGTTACCCTCGATCCCTCATTGTGCTTGTACTTAAACTTATACCCTTCCCTTATGTGGAACTCTACAAGTGCTTCTGTGAAAGCCTTAATATTTGGGAACTTAAGACCAACTTTTAACTCAAAATTGGGCTTCATAAACTCAATATCAGGGTAAAAAGTGAGATTTTCTGCAACATTACCATCATCATCTTCAGCTATGGGGGCATAAAATGTAGCTAAATCCTCTACTAGCGGCTCATTCCATTCTTCTACACATCCATTAAAATAACCATCATCATCACCATTTCCTTGTGGTTGGTTGTTCTTTGGATGTTTACTTGGGATGTTACCTCTTATATCTCCTTTATCACTTGTAGCGCTAGTAAGTGGAACATCATCTCTCCTTAATATGCCAAAGACATTTTCATCTTCTGGTCTGTTTATCCCCTCATTTAACCATGATTCATCATAAGGCACAAATTCCTGATCTTGTTCTACATGCAAAAAGTAACCCTCTTCGGAATCGGCTTGTGTCAGCTCCATCCTCCTTGGAGTTATTTTCTTGGATTTGATTCCATTGTTTTGACTCACAAGATTGCCCCTGTCATCGGATCTAAACTCTAGAGTTGTTTCAAATATATTAGCACCTATTTTCCCTTTTGGTTCTAGCTGATCTTGGCTCACTAGATTACTTGATATCTCACATCCACTTTCTTCTATGGTTTCACAATCTTCAGCACATGTTTCAGGCTGTTCTTCAGTCACTGATATGCTTTCAACTTGTGGCCATGTTTTAGGAAGACCTCTATCATGTTCCCATTGGGCTTGTTCAACCTCCCATGGAATCTTTGTATCCAGAATTCTTGATTTAGCTCTTGTTTTTCTGATTTTTATAGTTTTTCTGCTGGAGCTGGTTTTGGTGGCTCTACAGGCACCTCCATTCTTCTTTCTAATACTCGCTACAGTTGAAGAATTAGTAAATCCATGGGCGTTGATATTCAAAACTGCAAACTCTACTTCTTTAATTGGGCTCCCAGACTCTACAACATAAATGTCAAGCTTTTCCAATCCATTGTATGCATCCCAAAGTTGCATCATGTCAGCTTCCTCATTTGGTTGTCCCAATCCATGATCTATTCCAACGCATGGAGGTGCAATATGGAGCTCAACGACACCATAAACATAATTGGGGTTGGCATTCTTGTACATCTCCCTTTGTATATCTTCAGACAAATAATCTAGATGCACATTCTTAAATACCTTCATTAGGTTGCCCGTGTAGTGATACTCAGGCTCATACACAACAACTCCACCAAAGTGAATTACCACATCAATTGGAAGCCATTTAGTTCCTACAATTACAACAAACATAAAGTAAGTATTCTTTCAAAAACTAGATCAATTTTCCTTCATTTCGAAGCAAATGTGATGTCGCAATTCTGCATCACATAGCCAAGTATTATGACAATTAAATGTTATAAGTTTCTAAACAATAGATAAGGTTAAAGTATATGTATCTATCTGTTAATGAAAGCAAGTGAAACTAACTTTACTACTCTAAACTGCACAAATATAAAGGAACGAAGGCATGACACTTTCTAACCCAATAATCCCAGCTACAAAACCATTTAAAACTAATTGAATCAACTCCCCAAAACTAAATTATTTGAGAATTTACTGCATAAATTCAAGTAGGACAAAACTACATACATCACCCAAGAAGAATCCTATTACGAACCCAAATTCAAACATTTCTCACTACTGGGGCACGGTAATTTTGAAAGCCTAACAATTTTTTTTTTTTTTTTGAAAACTTATAAAATCGAACGAAAAAAAAATTCAAAACATCATTTGTGAAATCTTCACATTGCATAAACCCTTCGAACCTATGAATTCAAATAACTAAAATTATATACCTTCTTGTTCTTCTTTGTCCGTCATTTTTAGATGCCCTAAAAGATTTGTCCTCAAGCAAAGGAATAAAAATGTCATAATCGGGAGCCTTCTCATTAGAATTTGTCCATATCCATTATCATTCCATGGAATCGTGCGCCGTGACAAATGGATCTTCATATTCGATTTGGATTTTACTGCCTCGCTCGTTTTGTGGAGAGATTTTCGTTTCTTAATTTTTTCCGTGAGCAAGAGTTGAGTTAATTGACAACTACCTAATAATTTCCATTTATACAAGGTTATATTGGCCATTTAACTTATCACCGTTAGTCAAAACATGTAGTTTTAACAGTACTAACTTCGGAATAAGCACAAATAGGTTATTTTGATATTTATGTACCATGGGGGTTTTATCATGTAGTTCCAAGTATCACAGGGGCTTTCTTTGAATTATATTTATAATCTGGCCCGCACATCATGTGACTTCATGAGATGAAACCAAGAGAAATGAACAAACTTGAGAAAAGAGAAGGGAAATTACAATGCTACGACTGCAAGCATAACGAGTGACTAATCTTATGATTATCTTGGAATTTGAAATCAAACTGAAAGAGGATACTTCTGATGAGCATATCAGTCTTCTGCATCCATACCAACTAGAAAACATACGACAAGCTTATCTCGGAATTTGAACTCAAACCGAAGAGGGAAAATGAACCTTGACTTCGGACGAAGTCCTATGGTTACTGCATCTGCCAAACAAGTTGCATATGAAAGCGAGTAGATGAATCTCACAAGTTCCCACCGGAAGGACATTGGTGTAATAATTTGGAAGACAGCACCATTCTCCCCCGTGAAAACAACAGCATGCCCAGAATCTCAAGAGTTTGAACACCTTCTTTTGTCTGAAATACCTTAAATTGGGTTGAGAAATCATGGCTGCAAACCTCACCCAAGGCCAAAGCAAAAGATCTTTTGGGTAAAAGAATGGTTCTATAAAATTGATTATTTTTCTAAAATATTCTTTTTTTTCCCCTTATATATAGTTATAAAACAAAAGGCGAAGCCAGAAAAATGTTGGTATAAAAATAAACATCCTAAAGTGATATCTAATATACGCGTCGTACGAAAGATTCTCAAATTTGGAGGAGAATCGGACAAAAATTAGATGCCCAAAGAAAAAAAAACAAGAATCCAATAACAACATTGCTTTCTCTATCGTGATATCGTCTATCTATGTGATATTCGCATCTCATGTTTAATTAAACTTTTAATATGTACCATGGATACAAATAATTGATCAGAGATGTAAAAGAATTAATTGATCAATCCAACTATAAAACAAACATGACGAGACTATAAGTAACAGTGGGACTTGAATTGTGTAACTTGAAGAATGATAAAGAAGTAAATCAAACTGTAAAATCGTTGAAACGGACAACTGGTAAATGAAAGGCTTAGAAGTAACGAAACAATCCTTGAAACAGACCACAAGAAAGTATAAAAAACTTTTGCCGAATAGTGTCTACACCCGGCACAAGTAATTCTAGCCAAATTATCACAAGGTCTGTGATTACAAGTCATTATCACATTTACCCTTTTTTAAACCATTTCATTTTTTAAAATAATATTATAATAAAAACTTCCTAAATTAATACTCTATAAATTGATAAATTATTCGGCTCTAACCAGGATCAGTACAAAAATCAAACAAAATCAATAAATTAATAAGATAATAAAATTTGAAATCATAAATTGATAATGATTTAGAATATCAAAAAAAAAGAAGAAGAAAAAACTAAGTAAAATATTGAGCTCTGTTTTTTCTTGTAATTTAGATTTGAGAAAATTAATGATTTTTTAGAGTCCGGGTGCACGTGCTCCCCCTCCTATCTTTTGCACATATGATCCTCACTGTACTTTTTTTCTCAATCTTTTTATATTTTGCAAATTTAGTCCTTGTTATTTTTTTTTTCTCCTCCAAAAAATATCTCTAATCTTTAAACGAACATATCTCCGAATCCGTAAAAAATTTGAGAACGTGTTATACATGAAATATATTGCATTCGTCGAGATCTATCCAACAAGATCTATATCGAATATTTTTTTTCAACTTAAAAATGATCAAATTTTGATGTGCAGAAATAAGGTGGATATCCCGTTTAAAAAAATGGATAAACAACTTATTTTAAATTGGTTATCGATTGTGTTCGTGCTGATTATCCAACCGGTTTGCACTGGTTATCCATTTGGTTTGTATACCTATCCAACTTGTTTTGTATTTGCAATCTAACGGGTTTGTATGCATATCCAACTTGTTTGTACTAGATATCCAACTTATTTGTACTGGATATCTATTTGGTTTGTATGTCTATCCGACTTATGTGTACTGGTTATCCAACGGATTTATATGCTTATCCAAATTGTTTGTACTGGTTATCCAATCATTTTTTTGTTTGTCTGGAAAAAATCATTGTCCAACACGCTAATACTGGCTATCCATTTTGTTTATGCCGCTCATCCAATCATTTTTTTTTTGAAACACGATTATCCAATGTGTTCGTAGTGATTATCCAATCGATTTGTATTGGTTATCCAATTGTTTTTACTGCTTGTCTAAATAAGTTTTTATTATTTGTCCAATCATTTTTTTTTTCCTTTTGAGAAAATACTTGTCTAATGTAGAGTACTGATTATCCAACCCTGTGCTATTATTTCTCCAGTTATTTATTTATTTATTTTTATGAAAATACTTGTTTGATATGTTTGTACTTGTTATCCAACTAATTGGTACTGCTTATTCAACCTAATTTTTTTTTCTTAAATTAGTTATCCATTGTGTTCATACTAATTATCCGACCGGTTTGAACTGATTATCCATTTCGTTTGTACTGGTTATCCATTTTTTTTTCTTTAGAAAATCATTATCTAATGTGTTAATACTGATTATTTAATTAATTAGTACTGCTTATCCAACCTAGTTTTTCTTTTTATTATTTTTTTTGAAAAAAAAATGGTTGTCTAACGTGTTAATATTAATTATCCAATTGCTTGGTATATATTATCCAACCATTTTTTTTCTCTACTCTTTGCAAAAATCCTTGTCCATTTTTTTTACTGACTATGAAATCGTTTTGTATTGGTTATCCAATAGTTTTCACTGATTATCCGAACATGATTTTTCTTTTTTTTTCTTTTGAGAAAATATATGTACAATGTATTCATATTGATTATCCAACTTCTTGGTGATAGTTATACAACTTTTTCTTTCCCTTGCTTTTTTATGAAAATGATTGTTCGATTTTTTTGTACTAATTACCCAACCAATTTGTACTGCTTATTCAATTATTTTCAATAATTATCCTAATTGTTCGTAATACTTATCCAAATAATTTATTTTTTTTCTTTTTATTGAAGAGGAGGGAATGCCAAAAATATAATTGGATAATCAGTATAAACAAAATGGATAATCAGTCTAAACCGGTTCGATTATCAGTATGAACATAACGGATAACCATTTTTCAGAAAAAAAAAAATTTCTTCTTTTCTACCCGTAAAATTTAAATGCATTTACAGTTCAAAAAAATATTCAACATTGATTTTATCGGATAAATCTCGTCGAACACTATAAATTTTATTTATAATTTGTTTTATAATTCTTTTCGGATTGATAAATATAAATTTTACAAGAATATCAATATAAAATAAGTTGGTTATCCATCTTTTTAAACTGGATATCCATCTTAATTCTGTTCATCGAAATTTGATCATTTTTAAGTTCGATAAAAAAATTCGATATAGATCTTGTTGAATAGATCTTGACAAGTCTATAAATTGCATATCTAACTCATTCACAAATTCTTTACGAATTGAGAAATATGTTCGTTTAAAGATTAGAGATGTTTTTTTGGAAGAGAGAAAAAAAAGTAACATATATTAAATTTGCAAAATATAGGAAGTTATTTAAAAGAGAGAAAAAAATTAATAAGAACTAGTAATGCAAAAGGTAGGAAGGGTTGCCATTTTTTTCGCTAACCCGTAAATAAAAATAATGGGATCATACATGTAGGAATGGTTAATTTGAGCATTTTGTTTCCAAATAGAATTGTAAAAAAAAAACTTTATATTAATAAGATATTAACTTCGATAAAATAATTTTTTTTTTATTAAATCATCAATAAATAATAATATCTATAACTTAAAAAAAATTTGTAGGTCCAACACTACTACTTTATAAAATTTTACTGTAGTTATTACAAATCGCGAATGAGTGCATTAACTGTGACATTAAAAACTGGTCGAAGCAATAAATCAGTAAATATGTGAGAAATCTATTTGCGACGTTTTCTAAAATTGTTTCCCCTACATTTAGCTTGAGACCTTTTGGTATAAGGCATTATAGTGAGGTGCATGAATGTGAATTAGATCGTTATTTTCTCCCCTCATTGTATATCTTGATAATTAATTATCATAAATCACTAGTGTAATAATACTTAATTATCAATAATCTTTTTTTGTTTGGAGGAAATATCAATTATCTTTAATTATACGAATACAGTTATCTACGTGAACCTTTCAAATATATTCAGTGAATTTGGATTTAAGTAAAGAAATGTTTGACGTTTGAACCATTTACCATATTTACTACAATGAAGATATGTATATATCCTAAAACACGTTTGTGAGATTAACTGTATAATAACATTATTCAATGCACCTCTCTATATAAACAAAAGAAAAAACTCTTTTTATATATAAATAAGGCCTTAGACTCCCTATCTTATCTTGTGAAAATATTAGAGTTTATACTTTATACTGCATAATTTAAGAGATAAGTTGTTGTTGAGAATTTTGACATACCATGAAGAATTCGGCGAGTTTCCGTCAAGCACTTTTGCTGGTCGCTTTCTTCGTTTCAGGTATTGACTTCTATTCATCTCTTACTTTTGCATAAGACATCATGAAATTGTTACATTCAATTTTCAAATTTGTACGAAAAACAATATCAATTTCAAAATTCAATATGAATTACTTTTTCTAGACAAAAAAAATAAATAAAATCATACATTATATAATCGTAGATAATATGTATCAAACGGACAATATTTTTTTTTCTTTACACGACAAGTTTCTGTATTTGTAGCGGGGTTGATACTTTTTGCATCAATTCAAGTGAGGGCTGATTTTTGCTTCAAAATTGTTGGAGATGTGGCCTGCCAGAACGGAGGTCCGACCAAGGAATGCACCGGAATTTGCAAAAATATATGTGGACCAAAGGCTAATGCAACTTGTGCAGACAAACCAGATAATCCTCAATCGACTTGTGCTTGTTTAGTCGAGAGCGATGATTGTGCATTCCTCCCCCAATGCTAGATGATGGTATAGAACTATTTTTTTTCTAGTAATCCTTCATGGGGAAAAAATTAAATTAAATTGAAGTTGATGGATGAAAAATTAACTTCATCTTCTCTATAGATACAATCAAAGTATGTGTATCATCTGATAAGAGAAATAAATAGATAAGTTTTTTTTTTCAAGATTTATCTCATTATTTGTTTTCGCAATGGGGGCGAGTTAAAAGAATCTTTTTTTCCTTCTTGCTCAAGATTTATTTAAAAAAAGAAGCCAAAAAGATCTCATTAATATTTTCAGTTTTAAATTTGTATTATTAATGTCAGGATACATTTTGTTCTCGTTCTTGATTTGGATTTGGGAGAAGATTTTAAAATGTGATTTTAGTGGAAATTTAAAAAATTATTTAAATGAAATTTTATTATTTTCTTTAAAAATATAAAAAATGTAACCAAATAATATAAAAAATAAATTAATTAATTATCATTGACTAAACAACACATTAATAAAATACATTAATTAAAAAAATGACCCTAACAAAATTTTCAATACGAAACAACATTCATAAAGCACGTACAAGATAAAAAAAAATTTGTTGATCTAATCTAAAAAAGAAAAAAAAAACGTTACGGTAAAAAAAATTACATAATAATAAACTTTTAAAATAGAAGAAAAGAAAAGAAAAAAAAAACAGGAATGGGCAATGTAATTGGCCCCGCTGACGCCCGACATCTTGTCCGAATTCAGCACGTAATTTATTTGATACACCTGACATGAATATACAAATACGGTCTCCAACAATAAGATCAATTTTCTGATGATACAACAATTGCACCATTGTTATACATGCCCTTAGAGACATGTTAGTTTTTTTAATGCACATTCACCGTCGGAGTGAGTTTAAAATATTGTGTGTTTAGAAGTAAATTTAATCGGTTCCATTCTGACACTTGGAGCCTAGGAGTTTTAATGAAAAAAAGAAGAGAGAAGTTGTCTCACATTTTCCAGATCTCTCTCTTTTCTTGTTGGCCTTTCTATTGTTTTTTCTTTAATTATTATTGTTGTACTTTAATTTGTAGTGATGACCAATTGGTGGGTTTGTGTACAACTCTAATTACTGGAGGAAAAGGAGATAAATAAACAGTGTCAGATAAAATGGTGATGATTGAATTTAGTGCAACTATTGGAGATGCTCTTTGCATCATACTCTATTCATGTTGAGAATTACGACTCATACTTGTATCAATCTTATGCTGGTATCAATTTTGATTAACAAATAACCAAGATTGTATTGGAAAAGAATTTGAAGAAGTTTATAAAAATATTAATTGAGCTGTATAAAAAGTAAGTAAAAGGAAAGAATTCAATTAGAGAAAATTAGAATGTACCATAACATTATATATTTGCTGCAGATAATTACATTCATTTGGCAAACTCTTGGAAGGTGAATACATTAATCCTTACTAAAAATTTGTGTGAATCAGAATGATCATTATGAATGCAAAAAAAGAGAGTCAGTGCGATGATCATTTAGATCCAAAAATGGCTTCCAGATCTTTAGATAAACCTCTAGATTTTCCCTTAAAATCAGACGATGAAGCCATGGAAGGGCTTCCACTCCTCTTCGCATTCCAAAATGCATTCCATCTACCTTGACTTGTGGAAGGATCTTCAGTTGAAACTCCACTTCTTTCCCTGTTAAAGCTGGACCTAGCTAGTTCTCTTAGTTGCCTCAGCCATGGCCTTTCGTCGGAACTTCTACTGTTGGATCTTTGGTCTCCCAAAGGCGTAGTAGTAGCATTCGTTTCCCCATCCCCATTGGCATTTGCTGCAGGGAATTTGGTTTCAAAATTTTTTATCCACCTTCGAGGGACGAAAAACAAGAGGAAACCAATCGAAGCGATTTTCAAACCGGACCAGAAGTTCTTGGCGTGGTCTAGTCTTTTGGTCTGTCTAAATAATGCATACCATTCATTCAACAACTGAGCCAAGAATGCTACCAAGAAGAGTGATACCATGAAGATCCCGATTCTTGTCTCGTCTTCGGCTGAAAATTTTTTCTCTACAAGGGCCATACAAGCTGCAAAAATGCCGACTTCACAGGCCACTGAGATGATCTCCACCAACTGGATCTTTTTTTTGATGAATGGCTTTTTAAGCACCATGAAAAAAAGTTGGAAAGAGGTTATGCTGAGTAAGGTGATTGTAGGAGCTCTTGAAGTCCAGTTTTCCGAGTATGCACCTGCCACAATGCCTAAAGTAACGCGCCTGACGGCTTCAAGTAGAGTGTAATATATACGAAGAATTCCGAAAAGCTTTTGGATGAAAGGTGCTTCTGCATCTTCTGTCTCATCTTCTGAGTCAATGATTCTTTCGCCACGCTTAGGAGCATTTCCTCCTGCAATCTGAGATAGCATATACTTCGGAGGACCTCTTAGATCTTCAAACAATGGACCAAGCTTAGTTAGATATATGGCATTTGCCTGGTTTCTCCATGTCCACTGCCCTCTTTTACCAGGGCCAAGTGTTGCACGGATGACCTCCTGGTACCAGTGAAATTTTTCACCTTCTTGATGCACCTCTTTATACTGAAGTAGCTTTCCTAATGTTATTCCGATGGAGAGGAATAGAATCAAGGCTAGCAGCAGAAAAAATACAAAACCTAAGAGCAGAATTCCGACAACCATCCCTGAAGGTTCTCTTCCTACAATCAAGAAACAAAAAACAAATATATGTAAATCTATAGTAAGACAGATGCATGGCAGGCAGTGCTAATATCATGAAGTCATTTTAATTGGTAACCGTTATCTCTTATGAAGCATGAATTAGCAGCTAACTTAATGTAGAATGTTTGGACAGCCAACACCTTCTTTAACAGGGTTTTTCAGTTTATACATAGTCACAAATACATCAAGAGAAAGAAGGAACTGCATTAGTATTCTCAGCCACGTGGAAGCTGCAGAAATAGTGAAGCCTTATCAAGTGGAAAGCAACCTTCAATCAAAACGATATGTTGTACTTGGCACAAATACTGCATCTCCTTTCAAAACACAAGTTTCATGGGGTTGGTTTAAATGTAACTTTATTGGTTTAAAATCAGGTCAGTAGACAATAGGGAACTTCGAAGTACCTTTAACCAAGGATGCTGAAGCTTCACAAAGACAAGGTAAGGCAAGGATTAGAAGAAAGATGTGAAATCGTGGAAATACCAATGCCCCATAGCTTCTATTTTTGTTTGCATTCTTCTTTCTGAACTTTATAATCAAGAAGAATAAGGCATGCAACAAAATTAGACTGCCATAGATTATCGCCAACCAGAACATGCTTCGTTTGAAGCCTCTCCACCTAAAAAATAGAACAAAACAAAATTAGAGCACATTTATGATTAATATTCTTCTTAAATCCTCAGAAAGAGATACAGAATAAATAGCAGAGATATAAACACACAGGTATTTGAGTAACAAGCCACTGGCTTGAGGACTTTTAAGTCTGCAGATGACAGGACTCTAGTTCCTTTAACAATGAAGACTTTTTGATGACCCAAATCCAGTTTCGCTGTCAAGTTCTAATATGGAGGATCAAATGTAATGCTGATACATTTTTTACCAGATTTCATAAGATTCTAGCTACAGAATGGAACAATGCGTACCCATTTGTATCCTGAGGATACATAATGAAGTCTGCTTCTGGAATTACACTTCCTCCCTGACATGACAAAAAAAAAAACGTTAATATATGACCAACAAAAGAAATCAGGTGAATCTTGATAGAGACCTCATCTTGCCTCAAAGAATGTTCTGTACTCCATGGGTGTGAGTGGCAAGCCAGATACCATTGTAGCTTTACTCGGATCATGCAATTCGTATACCACATCCACTAGAATTCCTGATTTGTCGATTTTTGAGCTATATGGGGGAAAGTTTGAACCCCCTGTTAGTAGTGGTTGAATCTTTTCTGTTTCCCAAGGGAGACTGAAGTAGGGAATGCTCCACTGTAAACCTCTTGCAAATTCTGAATATTCAACAGGTAGGCCAACTGCCAACCACCTAGATAGTGCATAGATCTGAATGTGGCTTGCCATTCTCTTCATCAAAGCAAAAAGAAGAAAGAAATGGAGTCAGAATTTTTCTTCTTTGATGAAACTGAACTCTTAAGATAGTTATTGAGATTTATTTTGATGCCTTGAGAGTCATGGAAAGACAATAAGACTGGAAAACTTTCCCTGGAAATTCGCAAGAATTATCCTTCTTGCAACAATAAGGCTTTACGACTAAACCCAATAAGCCAATCACAACAGTTCCCTATATAAGAAACCACTACATAGCTTCACAAACTACTCAGATATAAACCATGCTAAAGATTTGCATATTTTATCTCACAAAAACAAAGAGAAAGAGGGATGAATATCACCTCAACGATACCAAATAAAATCTGATGGATGAAGAATCTTATTTCTTATTACAAGGCCCGAATTTAATGTTATGTCTGCACATTTACCGCTTGTACTAATAAAAAATAAGGAACAGAATGTAGCTGATAATACAACCCAGGTGCTGATAGAATGACTTGGCATGCAGAAAGCTATAGTGGATTTGATATCGTTTGTACTATTTAGAATAGTGAGACAGACAAGAAGAGGAAGCCGACTCTAAACTTAACAAAAAAATGTGCACTGAACAGTTCTCTCAAGCTACACACTCAGATAAAAAAAATATATAAATGAATGAATATGAAGGGAACTCACAAAAAGATTTCTAGATGGATCTGATGTCAGAAGAGATGATGGTTTCCTAAAAGCCCCAACTGACTGGAGGCTTGCAGTTGAAATTGTGAGAAAGCCTGCTAATAAAGCTGTAAGAGCAAAAGCTGCTGTTGCGAAGGAGGAAACCACTAGAGATACAGCAGGAACACAATCTGCAGAATTGCCAGCATCCGTATATGAAAAAGAAGAAATGGAAATCGAAAAACCAAGTAAAGTTCTTCCAAGCAGGAAATTTATTAGGAGAAAGTAAAGACCAAAATAACAAATGCCTTACAATGTCTCACTTGAAGTATATTCGAAGGAAGATTCCGGTTTCCCGCAACATCTTCTGTTATATTTTCAGGGACACTGATGGATATAACTCCACCATCAGCACGAACATCCATAGTATACACGCTCCTGCTCAGCTCTTGAAAGCTGGATAACGCATGAAAAGAGGTATGAAAAAACTTCCAAAACAAATGCTTTTCTGATCATTTCTCTGTTGATCAAATTACACAGAAGTGCAAACCATTCTGATATTAACCAATTGCTGAAACTGTATCACTGTTTCTTAAGTTGCTAACCTCAACAAATGTCCCCCAGAAATGGACATGTGAGAAGAATTGAAGCCGAAAACAGCCTTCGTGAACTTAATCAGAACCGGAATACTCTTATCCTTTGTCCTCCTGCGCGAAGTGGTTCTCAACCTCACAGTAGGCCTTATAGAGTCTGAGATCAATAAGGATTTATGTCAGAAGGTAACAGTGAGAAGTTAAAAGTGCTGAGGGTTACTGTATTAGCAGTGAACTGTAGGGTTTTCCAGTTAGTGAGTTTGATTACATTGATGGATGATAGTAGTTCTCAGTATATTGTCAAAAAATAAAAATGAAAAACTTACAAGTTCTGCAGAAAGCTGCATATACCAATAGTTCTTACTATTGTTGTAATATTTATAAGTTCTACTTAACCAATATATGTGTATATATAAGTTCTGCACAAAGCTGCACATACCATAAAGAAAGGTTACAGGAGTCACTGGAGAAACAGGAGTTCCTTGTCGACTTATAACTAAATTTGAATCAAGACTCACAGTAACAATAGACACCTCTGATATATCCTTCACCTGAAAAATACATGTAATATTACGTGAGCAGGAAATAACTACAAAACAATTCTTGTACCAACACAAACTCAATTGATTCATACGAAAGGAGGCGACTGAAAAACAATAACCTGATAACCGAATCTTTGATTTCCAGAAGTATCTCCATTCAAAGGAAGTAATGAACCTACGCTTGTATTTAGCAAGGCCAAAATTTCTGTGGATGAGTTGAGAACAGGTTCTGTGAAGTACACATACACTTCCAAGTTCTTATTTTTATTGGTTGCCAACAGTGATCTAGCTTCTTGGTTGATGTATACTAGCTTTTCAGGTATACGAGTCCTCAGATTCCCTAATACACTTCTCCTGTCTAAAGTTTCACAAGAAAAGGATCAACACTGTTACTGATTCTGAAGAATGATGACTCAACAGCTACTAAATATCAACCATTTTCACACAGCATTAAGTTTCATAACTGTCTTCTTGAAAATTAAGTAGATCATCATCAAAGTAATAGTTGAGACATATCATAATGCAACAACACTAGAACTTTACAGTGTAAACAGCCAGCAAAGCCTGTCAAAGTTACCATAGATACAAAAATGATGAGCGGCAAAGTGCTGGAGGAATAGTTGGGCCATATCATTGAACAAATTTTCATTCTGAATTGACCTCTATATTTTCGCTCAAGAATAATAGAAGCTAAGACTTACCAATATGAATCAGTAATCTTGAATTTTCTGTCCTTGAAAATCTATTTCCTGCTGAGTCAGAACAGAAACTTTTGTCCAGTACGACTATCGCTCTTCCATACTCAACACTTTCAGACAAACCGACAGTAAGTGAATATTTCAGGTTCGGTTCAATGACATTTAATGTGTTTGGCATAACCTGGCCATCACCATATACAAGAAGCTGCAGACAAGACATAGATGTTATCGGTAAATAAATCATGTGGAGCCATTTCTGCAAATTACCTAGATTTGTTTATGTAATTCTTATAATTAAAACTACAAACCTCCTAGGAAGTGGAGACAGAACATACTTAAAAACTTTTGTATCACCAGAGAAACAACATAATAGATTATGAATTGATAAAAACTGGGGAAAAAATGTGAAAAAAGAAAGTAATGGAGTGAATAATGTCAGAAATCAGATCCATTGAAGCTTTGAATTCTACCTTTGGCATCATTTTTCAGAGTCTTGAACATAGAATGAGGGAAATTATGCAAAGATATAATCACCATTCTAATTTAGAAGGAAGTATATTCTTTTCAAACTAGAAATAGCTGTTTTCAGGTTACTGGTTTTTGGTTCCAACAGTGATAGAGTAGTTGATACACTTTAAGAGATCAAGCTGGTCACATACTCACGTTGCAGGCATCAGGTGATGAACACTGGAAGCCACCTTCACCACCACAAGGTTCACTAAACGATATGTTCACTTGAAGATTTGATGCATTTGTAAAGGATTTCGAAGTTATTATTTGTGCTGTTGGTGGGACTGTGTCTGCAAACAGCATCAGTTGAATCAATATGGGTTTTTGAAAGTTAAGGCTCGATTTGAACAACTTTACATTCGTTGAGAAGTGAAAGGAACTTTCACACTAGCATTCTGCTGCAAGACTCAAAATATACTCATGCGCAATTGGTTGAGGTATATCAATAAATGATGTAACCAGGAAATGAGACTCCTTTAACAACCTCATTCTTTGCACATTAACAACAACATGGTCATGTCCAGAAGCCACCAACTAGTTCTAGTCACTAGTAAAGAAGCTAAAACACATAATTGCAATATAAATGTAGAACTCGAACTTCTAAGATAAAGTATTTAAAAGGAGAATATCCAATCTAAGCAGAGAGGAACTATTTTGATGGCTTAGCAATTTGCACATGTCGAATTTCAGTTGAGAAGAAAATGGGATTGCTTGGCAACATTTAAGAGATCAGTCCTGTACAATTTAACTTTGGATTCCATGCTTGGGCATTGCCAGTTACCATTTTCAAAGTCCACTCAGGCTCATTAATCTGAAGTTGTTTACAAAATTTTCTGGTACTGGAAAAGGCAGTTCTTATAGAACCTAAAGCCGAAGTGAAAGCATCATGTCACTGTGTTTATGTTCATTTCCGACCATCACTTATATCTTCTAAATAGTGCATGTTTTTTAGCTGCAAATTTTAGGTTCAGCGACTAATGATCAATCATCAGCTTTTGTTATCACATGATTTTAATCTATATAGCTCAATGGGAAGCGTTGTGGCAAGGGTTTTGCTCACCGACTGTCCAGTTGTAGCGAGCGCATCCAATTCCCTGAGACCGATTAGTGCAAACCTCAAAAGTGTGAAATCCATCCCGCAGTTTGACATAAGACACTCTTCCATGCTTACAAACCGATGGCAAATGATGGTCAAGCTGCTTGTTGGAGCAAATATAGAACTTGTGAAAATCTGATTAAAGGAATGAAACTAATTGTGCGTGTGTGTGTGTGTAGTGTTATATTGGTGCAGTTCTACAAATTGAATTCGTAAATGGAGTAAAGAACGCGAACATGCAAGACGAGCAATCTCTGAATTCTGTCCAGAATTTTGTTGCCCCAATTATTATAACACAATAGACTATGTTCCTAAGAACCTCCTACAGATAGATCGGAGAAATCTACCAGCTTGAAGCTTTAATTAGAAACGAATTGCCAGCCATTTCAAGAGTTTTTTAGAGACATGATAACAACTAAAAGATTAAGGTTCACTAAAGAGTTCAATTAATGTGCAAGAGATTTGCACCCCCAATGAAGCAATATATAGTAGAAGCAAGCAATAAACTCCTGAAAATTCATTGCATGCATCAACTGACCTTGCAAATGGTACCACACTCTAGGCAGCTTTTTCGATTCCGGGAGACTTCAAATTGGAAAAGCGCGAAATCCCTTTTCGATACTGCATGAGGAGTCCTTAACAACTTCACATTTACCTCTGAATTGCCACAATTAGCTCTCAAACTCAGTATCAACACTACCATTAACTCCACAGTCAGCCATGTTGATGATGTCATGGCCATTAGTACCAGTTAAAGATTAACTGAGAATCAATGGTCAATTACAAGAAGCAGAGTTTTTGTCCTGCATGAACAGTTTTCCTACAGAAAACAGAGAATCAATGGTCAATTACAAGTACTCTGTTTCATGTACATTTGTACATTATGAATGTGTTATAATTAACAAGTGAAATGAAGAAGGTGGAAGGGGAAAAAAAAATGGAGAAATGGGATTAGTGGTTGATGAAGGTTGTGAGGAGGATAGTGCACATGAGACTGACAGACAATTCAACAAAATCCATCTCACTAGTAGTGAAGATAAGAGGGGGGGAGAGAGAGAGAGAGAAGAGAGATTCTCAAAGAAACAAGATGTCAAATTAAATGAAGCCATAAGTGATAGAGAAAGGGATCAGAAACATGAGTCAATAATGCAGCCATAATATTGTTTTCATCCATGAGGGGGACTCTTCTGAATATCTCAGAAAACTCTGCAGCCATAAACTGTAAAATATTATTTAATTTTTCTGAATGCAAACCAAGAAAGAACATACATCTTGTGAAAAAAAAAAATGAATTTTCTTTAAAAAAAAAAAAAAAATTGACGCCCAGAACTACAAGAGAATGGGACGGTACACAATGTATGGACTACTAATCAGTCTCTTGAGGGCCCTAATTGGAAGAATATTGTAACATTTTGGTAAATGTATTATTCGGACAAAAGTCACAAGATGGCAATGTTCTGTAAGACCATAGAGAAATTTAGTGAAAAGTTTTAAATCAATCAAGCAAAGTTGTTTTCTTTCCTAATTCACATTCAAACGCATTTCTAAACATTTTGACTCTCACACAAGCATTAAATGAAACACACAAATATCAAGTCCATAATAACAAACTATTTAAGGTATATTCAGAGACTCCAAATGAAGACACACTAATGAATAGAATGGACAAGTTTGTGTGGTTAATCCCCAAAAGTTATATAGGTTTTAATAGTATGGATAATTTGATCAGTTCTGCAAACATAGCTAGCACAATGTTTATTTGAACATGATTATCCTTAGGCTAAAAGATAGTGAATTAATTCGCAATTTGAAAACATCCAAAATTTAGTTTTTTAGTATTGGTATAATTCTTAATCTTATTAGTGTAGTGCAACCATTTCCGATGCAGGTGGTATCATTCTTGTTTGGTCTATGCAAGGTGAGAGGAAAAAAGATAATTGATGGATCACCAAATCAAAAAATGCACAAGGAGAGTGGATCCAAGTGGTAGATCAAGTACGCGCTCTAGTGGAAGAACACTTTGCCCGAAGTGTATACGGTACCAGAATTCTATCCTAATGATGGTGGTTCTGATTTTACTTTGGAAGGTCTTCTAGACAACATCACATATTGTCTTTCTGAGCAAGTAGATTATCTCGAAAAAAATAAATAAATAAGTAAAAGAAAAGGGATATATCTTCAAGATTTCACCAAAAATTCTAATGACCAAATGATAGCGACTTGTAGTAGTGGAATCATTTAATCTACAAAATTTTGAAGATTGTCATGATAGTTTGCCTCTTTTGACACCTATAAAATAGATGAAATGGTAATTTACTCCAAGAAACCAATGCACGAATCTAACTAATGGAAGAGCACCTTGATCATAAAGCATTACATTTCTAACACATATGAAGAACATTGGTAATGAAAGAACCAATACCAATGTATATCTATTGTGAAAGAAAAACAAATGTTCTGAACACCACAATTGAAAGAAACACTTTTCAATTGATAAGTCTCTTAGAAGACACAAAACAGAATTTTGCAATAACTAATCAAGTGAAATAACAACCCAATACTAAATTCAATAAAATCTCAAGCATTCGACCCCTTCATATTGAGAGGAGGGGAGCACGAATTTAAAGTGTGTGTGTGTGTGTGTGTGTGAGAGAGAGAGAGAGAGAGAGAGAGAGAGAGAATCTTCTAACTATTCTAATACCATATCTTAAGGAGATAAAATAGGAATTTACCACTAAGATTCTTATCTACTAGAAATCTTGGACTCAAATTTAATGAACCAATAAGGAAACAAAATAAAAATTCTAATACAAAGATACATTCTCTGAAAAGAATCCATCCAAGTGTGAACACAATCAATTCGATAGTGAAAATTTTCTTGAGTATCAACTCAATCAATGTCATCTTTGTAGAGAGTGATCATAGTCTTTCATGTTGATGCATATCCATCCATTAATGATGCGGTAAACATCATATTCGAGATTTCTTTATGAAAAGGCTAAAAAAAATCTCAAAGTTAAATAAAAAAATGACAAATCTGTATATTTTTTAGTAGGAAGAATCTCCACCAAACATGGAAACTATCAACACCCCTTAAAAAACTTTAGCATAATAATAACTTACAACCTTTTCTACAAGAGTCTTAGAAAAAGCTCATTATTGGCTGCCACAAGGATAAGATAGATGTGTCGTAGATCTTGTTTCTTGCACAGAAGAATTCCACTTTAACATTATTACCTCGATTAAGCTATAATCACAAATTCCCAAGGAGGCTTCTTCTTCTGAGGGCCAAAGTTCCATCTAGAAGTTGATATCAAAGAAAAACAAAGTTATAGAACTAAACTAATTGAACCATTATAAAATATCTAGTGATTGTGATGAGACCCAATTTCAATTTTTCTAGGACGAACAACATGTCATCACTTGGGAATTTATAAAACATGAAGATGTTAATATTAAATTTTTGCTCGAGTTTTGTTGAATCGTTAAAACAACTTATGGAAAAATAAATTCAAAATCCCTCATTAATCGGTGAGTTGTCAAACAATACTCCCGCAGCAGGAAAATGATGAATATTTATATCAACCACAAAATAAGGGGCAATGAGGACACTTTTTCCCTTCCTTAAAATACACATAACTGTTTATGTGAAAATAGAACATGGTGGCATTTCTCGATGTTCATTCGTCTCTCCAATCAAAACAAAAAAAAACGATAATCATGACAAAATCAATCATCATTTCTATGTGCACCCATTGTGATGATCACAACCAGCACTTTCACCAACATTATAAACTACCGTCATTATTACAAGTTAGGAAGAACTACTTCCACCAACATCACAAATCATCAAACAATGAGATACTAATTTGGAATTTTTTTACGAGAAGAAACAACGCCAGGTCGACAAAAAACAAACTAACAAAATCCTTAACTAAGTAGAATCATTATCATCAATATAATTGAAAGTATTGACAGTGCCATCAAAAAAAGATATTGATGGTGCTCAACAAAATTCATCCCTTTTTACATAAGCTTATTATATTATTTTTGGGGATTTATTACCTAAAGTCTAAAATCACATGATTAGTTGCAGAAAATTGGTGGGGGTGTCAGACCAATATATAATTTAACTTACTTTGCAATTTTAGCATGGCATATAGAAGTAAGGTTATTTCTTTAGAAAATGGTATATTCATCTCTCTTAAATAAGTAACTTTATGGGGGCTTTGGAGTTGATACTACATTTGAACAATAGAATGGTTGAAATTGATCAAAAACTTAAAAGCTCTAGTCAAATAAATATATATCCACCTTGGTTTATGCATCGATCCTTGGTTTAAAAATAATGTAACAATTCAAAATATGGCGATGTACATACCTACATATCACCAATCTTTCCATGTCAAGGGCAATATGATGAGAGCCAAATTATGCATCTAAAATCAGGCTTAATTTACCTCTTTTTACCTGTAAATTATAATGTTTTGTTAAGAAGTATTAATTTCCAATTAGGTTTTCATGTTTCAGGTGACCTAGGGACCTATTTGTAAATATGGACAAAAAGGTGGGCAAAATGGTGAAAAATCGGGCAAAATTGGAGAATGACAATTGGACCAAAATGCAAATATGGCTGGAAGCTTAGATGCTACGGAAGACAAGGCAACTTGGTCAAGAGACAAAGAAGACAACAAAGGTATGGGCACAAAAAGTGTCCAAAGACTAAACTAGAAAGTAGTCTTGACTCTTAGGGAAGAAACCTCAAATCAAGCAAAAGGGGAGGAGGCCATACTTCTACAAAGGAGGGAGAGAATCTCAATTAAAAGATCATTAGAGAGAGAGAGGGAGTGATACCCGTAGAAAGATAGCCAATAGGGAGAAGAGAAAGGAAAAAATACGCATAAGCCACATGCAGCGACTCAGAAAAGTGACAGACGCCACATGCAGCGACTCAGAAAAGTGACAGAGTCACTTTCCCAAGTCGCCAGCCAACAGTAGCAATAGGAGATTTGTTCCCTTACTCTCTTCCTTTCTTTTGTTATATTTTTCTTGTTTTGTAATATTTTTCTTGTTATATTTTCCCTTACTCTCTATCCTGCCCCCATTACTGAGTCTAATATGAGAATGCAGCAAAGAAAACAGTCAAAATTTTTGTCTCAGAAATAGGTCTCATCAGAGATAGGTTATAAACTAAAGTTCAAGACCACATGAGCAAGACAGAAACTCACTTCCCAGTATGTGTGTGACAGAACATAGAACAAAGAGTTGATTTTCCTTTTTAAGTTAATTTCAATTCAGCGCAAGTGGATAATTTTGGATCTGTACCTATTTTCATCAAGTCTGCAACTAGGGTATTTTTACTGGAATTTAGACTAAGGGCTTTCCTCTCTGAACTGCTAGCACATTAGCTGCATCTTTCACCCTCATACAATTTTCCTCCTTGTCCAAGTTGGCTTTTCTTCTGGATCTTTCCCACTCAAGCCTTTACCAAGCACATTTTTTCAGTACTTTTATGGTATTCTAAACATTTATATTTTTCAACTCACCAGGCCTGAGGACACTCCTCTTGTGGGTTGCCATGCCTCACCTCTCAAGGGTTTATAATGCCACATTGGGCAATCTACCTATACTCCCTCAATTAGCTAAACAGATAACCATAGTTTAAACCACCAACTTCTCCTTTTTCCATGTATTTCAGGCTAATACAAACCACTATGGGCTTGAATCAAGGCTGCAATAGTGCGTTGGGCTGCCTTAATCTATATCCAAGAGTACAGTCCCCCCAGGTTAAGAAACAAGTGAGCTCCAATACAGATCACAACAATGCAGGAAAATTTTCAAATTTAAGCAATTAAGTCGAGAACAACACTTTGTCAAGTGAACTGTGTGCATAAGGAAGTAGAAGTAAGTCTCGATTTTGATCAATCGGTTTTCAAACAAGTGTTCAGCCAAATGTGAACCTCAATTCTATTTTCATCCTCGACATTTGACTATCTACTTAGCATGCATTCTCAATTTTACCTAAATACAGAAAGACTCAACTGACTCGATCACAGAAGAAAAAAACAAAACACAGAAAAACAGAAAAAACATGGCAAAGTGCCCAAAAATAGAAAAACACATGCACATACCTAAAAACAGAGACCTAAAAATAGATTTCATATTCACTCCCCCCTCATACATAAAATGCAGCTTTGTGCCCAATGCTGATAAAAAGAAAAGAGAAGGAGATGAAAAGAATGGACAATAAGAAAAACAAAAATGTACAAAAAGGAAACGAAAAGGGAACTAGTGACTCCCCTAATCCTCAAGGTCTGGTAATCCTGCAAGAGGTGGTAGTAGTGGTGGTGGTTCTAGATGCTAGCGCCTTGGCATCTCTGATCTTCTATCTCGTGGTCCGAAGTGTACTCCTGCTCGCTCCATTAACC